CTAAACCTACAAGTATACAATATATTAATTCAAAATCTTGCTTAACAAATACAAGCTGAGGCCCATGTCAAATATAAAATGAAAATACAGGACAAAACATTAGGCCTTGAACAATACAGAAGTATATTATGAGGCCAATTTTCCAATAATTATAAAATATGCAGAAATATTATTTGTTGTTACAGGTGTGTGTGTGTGTGTGTGTGTGTGTGTGTGTTTTATGTGATATTAATTTCTTGCAACCTTTAAAAGGTAGGATCTCTTCACTGTGACTCAGTAACAGACAATACACACATTACACCAGAGACTAATAAAGATCCACACACCATAAATGCTATTTTATGGTTTCTACAGTGACGAATAATAGGAGAAACGCCTACTATCACCCACTTCAACAGTGTAGAAGGAAAAGATTACTGTAGTTTACAATGAAACATGCTGATTTTTGTAAATTAGTTATTTTCTTTTTAGCATAACTACATTTCAACAATTAACTAGAATCATTATTTTGGAAACACTTTATAATAATGGTCCGTCGTTAACAAGTAGCTCTGCAGGAAGATACTACATTAACACCGAACTAATATGGAAGCTAGATTAGCAGTAAGTAATAACAAATTTAGTACTAAGGTAGTGACTTATTAGGTATTTGATCGTCACTAAATACATATATCCTCATTGAGAACTTGTGAACTATGACCAATTAATAAAGAATAACCAATTAAATCATAAAAGTAACATGTCTAAAAAGTGAACAATTGTCTTTTTCTTATCTTAACATGGTCATAACATTTCACAAGCTTGTTTCTCAAATGGGTTTTTTGTGGAAACCAGTTTATGAATATTATATCCCCCAAATATGTTAGCTACAGGTTGAGATTGTGACTACTCTTTCCAAAGGATGGACGTATGTTCTCAGTATTATTCTATGTTTAAGTTTGAAATAAACAATCATTTGTTTAAAAGTTTAAATAATTAGGAAGTGATGCTGACACGCTCATGATTGGATTAGTTCACTATTATGAGCTCTATTGAGTGTCAGTTCAATATGTCTCAGACTCCAAAGACCTTTAAGTTACAGGAGCCTCTTTAGGATATGAATATAAATATTGATGTTCTCTTGTGAAAAACAATTGGCATCCTTACTGGAGACATCGGCTGCATTGATGTTGTGTTAAGCACAAAAGCACATCTTCCAGACTACAGTGTTTGTTAGAATATCCTCACTAGTGCCTCACAGAGATGTATGACTGTACAGTGTGTGTCAAATATCAAATTAAATAACTTATTATATGACTTGTGAAAACATGTCAACCTCTGACTAATTACTCAAGCGTTCCCTTGTCATCCCGCGGGAACTATAGAGATGTGGAGCATTATTTTATCCCCAGCATGTGGTTTTAAACGTTTTAAGATGATATGTATTCGCTGGTTATTGTTGTATACTACTACTAATTATACTAAGTAGACAACTTTAACTCTTCAAACATTTATTTTAATATTTCCCATTCCAACATTTATTTTCCACTGGCCCAACGTGTTAGACTACTGAGATCTGACTGGTAAGCCTATGGCTATAATTGTATTTTGTTCATTGATGAAATATGGCTAATATGCTGGTAAATCTGTATATTCTATTGAAGTTCAGCAATGAAATGTAAAAGATGAAACCTGAATCAAGCTGTTGATGTAAGCAATAACTGGTGTTATTGAATATATAAACAGTACCTCTTGTTAAAAGCGCTCTATAAATGAAGGTGACTTGACTTAAAATGAATAAAATAATCAAAAATAACAGTATAATGCTGTACTTTATTTTACAGTAGGGTTATGCTTAAAACTACTGTAGTTAGTCTAACAGTAATTTTACTGTGGTATAAAATACAGACGCTTGCTGGATATTTGTTGCCAGTAAGTTACTGTTGATTTTACGCTTTTTTTGCTTATCCACAATATCACCCTCAAAAAGTTTTTCCTCGGAAAAAGAAGTGCTATTAGCAGATATCTCTGACAAATGAAAGACAGGCGTTCACAATCTGTAAATATTTGGCAAAAAACCCTTACAATCTACACACACACGCCCCAAAACAAAAGCATGATCATGTGTGTGATAATGCTCACTGTTCCTTCTTCATCCTGCTTAGTTTTTATTTTATTTTATTTTATTTTATGCCAACAATGTAAGTCAACATCCCATGTTCAGCTGTTCAGTCCTATGGAATACATCATAAGGACCTAATCGTTATCTTGACATTCATATCTTTTTAAGCACTCGTGTTTATTTACAACACACGTGATGCATTTGTGTAGCGTGACATAAGATCTGCTTCTGATATTTAGGGACCTTTGTATAAAATAAATGTTACACAGTATAGTGAATATGATGACAATAAAGATTATAGTAACGGTTTAATTGTATAAACACTCGAGGACTTTGAAGATCTTTGAAAGATTTCACTTTTTGTCTTGTTCAGAAGCATTGTCACTTAATTTCATTAATATAATTAACATTGCATTCATGCACTTTTTTGGAGAGATTTTATTTAATTTACCTCTAAATTACCAATTTTTAACCAATAATTTACTTATAAAATAAGCACATGCAAATTACTTAATTTAAAAACATTAATTCTGCAGCTCATGCAAAGACCAGTTAAACATTATAGATCATGCATTGAATGTCTCTGCTGACCTCTTGTGGGGGAAAACAAACAAACATAAAATGCTATTATCCTTGATTTGTGTGTGTGTGTGTGTGTGTGTGTGTGTGTCACAGAGAATGGTGGTGTTGTTGTCCTCTGGGCCACAGGCTGGCTGACTTGGGTTTCGTGGATGTGTGTGTGTGTGTGTGTGTGTGTGTGTGTATGTGTGCGTGTGCGTGTGTGTGTGCGTGTGTGTGTGTGTCACAGAGAATGGTGGTGTTGTTGTCCTCTGGGCCAAAGGCTGGCTGGTTTGGGTTTTGTGGATGTGTGTGTGTGTGTGTGTGTGTGTGTGTGTGTGTGTGTGGCACAGATAATGGTGGTGTTGTTGTCCTCTGGGCCAAAGGCTGGCTGGTTTGGGTTTTGTGGATGTGTGTGTGTGTGTGTGTGTGTGTCACAGAGAATGGTGGTGTTGTTGTCCTCTGGGCCAAAGGCTGGCTGGTTTGGGTTTTGTGGATGTGTGTGTGTGTGTGTGTGTGTGTGTGTCACAGAGAATGGTGGTGTTGTTGTCCTCTGGGCCACAGGCTGGCTGGTTTGGGTTTTGTGGATGTGTGTGTGTGTGTGTGTGTTTGTGTGTGTGTGTGTGTGTGTGTGTGTGTGGCACAGATAATGGTGGTGTTGTTGTCCTCTGGGCCACAGGCTGGCTGGTTTGGGTTTTGTGGATGTGTGTGTGTGTGTGTGTGTGTGTGGCACAGATAATGGTGGTGTTGTTGTCCTCTGGGCCACAGGCTGGCTGGTTTGGGTTTTGTGGATGTGTGTGTGTGTGTGTGTGTTTGTGTGTGTGTGTGTGTGTGGCACAGATAATGGTGGTGTTGTTGTCCTCTGGGCCACAGGCTGGCTGGTTTGGGTTTTGTGGATGTGTGTGTGTGTGTGTGTGTGTGTGTGTGTGTGTGTGTGTGTGTGTGTGTGTGTGTGTGTGTGTGTGTGGCACAGATAATGGTGGTGTTGTTGTCCTCTGGGCCACAGGCTGGCTGGTTTGGGTTTTGTGGATGTGTGTGTGTGTGTGTGTGTGTGTGTGTGTGTGTGTGTGTGTGTGTGTGTGTGTGTGTGTGTGTGTGTGTGTGTGTGTGTGTGTGTGGCACAGATAATGGTGGTGTTGTTGTCCTCTGGGCCACAGGCTGGCTGGTTTGGGTTTTGTGGATGTTGTGCCTGATGTGAGAGTGTGTCGACACGAGGAGACACCGGAGCTCTTCCAGAAGTCTCTGTAGTTCCTGCTCCAGGAAGACTCATGATGGTTCACAGCACAGATGATTTGAACACAGACACATCCAGCATGTTAGAAAATATTGGGCCATTGGTTGGGTTTGTCTTTTGCAGCAATGAGCTGAACAACACGATTAGCTCCTCTGGGGAACAAAATACCTCCTCTCCTCGTAAAAGTAACACACTTTACATGTGATATTTGTCCTTGGATGTAAATAAATAAAAAATGCTAAAAATACGAAATAGTAAAATACCTTGCATGGTTGTCAACTCCTCTTTTGGCGCTGATAACCGGGATAATCTTCGGCTCTTGTCATATTGGGCCGAACGCAGGGTTTGATAAATACAGAGGTACCAAAAGTGATCTTGTTTCCTAATAGTTAAATTGCTCACTCATAAAGACAGTCACGTGTCGCCACCCTTAATGATGCAAGTTACACAAACACAAGCGGAGTGATACAAACAGTGAACAGTCCCTGTGCTGATAGTGTTGAAACATTCAAACACATTCGAGGTAGGCTATAGGCTACAAATATAAATATTTATCAAGAATAATGGCAATATATTTAGCTTGTGTTGTTAAATTGAGTTTATAGTTTTTACAGTCTTTGGCAAAGAACATATTAGGCTAAATCTGTGTTAAATGAAGTTATTCTCCTTCCGGGCACAGTTATGCAATACTCTTCCTCTCTCAGCCCCAAATTAGACTTAATATATTATCAATTATTTCACAACGTTCATTATATACAATCAGAAAAGTGTATGGGAACCTCAATGGTGGTCAGTTCCAATGGTTATGAAGTGTGCTCATCACAAGCACATGTTCTTCCTTGGACAGTAGATGATTCTATCACATTAAACTAGAAACATAGGCTACATTAAACCTGCAATTAATTATTTCCCCCAGCCGAGCGTTTCACTTTGGTGTTACTGTAAATGTAGTTTTAAAATGTGATAAATAATGACCTCTCTAAGTGACACAATATAAGTCGAACTGTCCGCGAACGACCGGCGGCGGTAGTGAGCAGAGAACCCAACACAAACAACCGTCAATGGTGACGAAGAAGACCGAGTTGACTGCCCGTGTGTGCGGTTCATCATGAATAATAACCGCAATGTTTACACCTTTGAGGATTATAAGTGCACGCCGGACCCCGTGTTCGCGGTGGAGAGGGAGTGCCTCGAGCCCTGTCCGGCGCCGGTAGTGGTGGATAACGGCTCGTTCCAGTGCCGCGCGGGCTGGGCGAGCGTGGGTCCAGCGCGGTGCGATTCGCCGCGGCTCGTATTCAGGGCGGCAGCGGCACGCGTCAGAGGAGCCGCGCGCAGTGACGCGCACGTGGGGAACGACATCGCGAGCGTCGAGCCGCTGCGCTGGAGCCTCAAGAGCGCGTTTGACCGCGACGCGGTGGTGAACTTCGACATTCAGGAGCTCATCTTCGATTACATCTTCATGCACCTCGGAATAAACACACAGGTACTGATCTGATGTGTGTCGGTGGGAGAAGTTCCAGCCAGTCTCTGTCCACACATTTGCAGAAGAATTTTGCCAAACTTTAGGCAATCAGTTTAGTGTTTCACATGTGACTCATTCCAGAATTGCGGCTACATTTCAAGTAGAGAAAGAAAACAAAAAACAGGGTTGTTTTTTCTTCTGTTAACCTTTATTTTCATAGACTGCACTTTAAATTCAACATTTTTAATATTTGCTGATCTTAAACTTGTAAGATTTAAAATATATCAATTCTGAAAATCAATGTACAGAAAAACCTGTCAACTCTGTTATAGACAAATTGGGTCAAATATATAGGTTATTAAATACAAATCTAAGACATTTTTAAAACCTGTCATCCCTAAGATAACTTTTGTCTTTTCATCCATGCCACTTTAAGCATAATAAGATATAGACTTTTTGTTTTGGAGTAAAAAGTTCAACAATTTTAACTGAAAAGTTGCCAATAGTGTGCATTTCCTCTAATTAAATCCTTTAAAACTCAATTTGTTAACAATAAAACATACATGATCATTTTTTTAAGTAAAACACTAAACAAACAGAGTTGACCACCCATAGTTAAAAGATCAAAAACAACCACATTTTCTGCCAGTGTAATAAGGCCCACTGAGTCGAGTTGCAGTGAGAACAGTGCAGCTTTATTAAAATAAGTGTGAACAAAATAAAAACACTTGACATGAACATGACACTCAGTTTCAGGAAACTAAGCTAGACTAAATATAATGGGCAATATAATGGGTGGCATGGGGGCTATTTATATACACAGACTATTGACTAACAGGAAACACCTGTGAACAATCAGACAATGAACCAATGAGAAAACAGAACTGAACAAACAAGAACCAATGAGAATATAACACACTAACGGGAATCACAAGACAAACGGGAACTATGACTAGCCTAAACTTTAAAATAAAAGACCTGAAACAAAACCCATACCAAACGTAACAGCCAGACTCTGAAACTTTTGAAACCATTTTAAATGTAAAACCAACAATTCAATCCTATCAAATACATCTGATTTACAGATCTTTAATGACCTTGAAAATGAACTGTCTCATGCATTACTGATATGGAAACTAAAATGTAGAGGATGGTTCCTGGTGTGAGTGATCGTCTGCTGGAGGCTCATTGTTGAAGGAACCCCCGGGAGCCGGTTTGGCATCTCCTGTACAGCTCTCCTCATCACTGTAGGACGGCTGTATAGAGGTCGGACAATCAGTAGACAATCATACAATTTCTTGCCATTTTTAATGTCTTCTCCTTCACTGACCAGAGACCAGTCTCCGCCGTTCATTTTAAGGGCCCTTTCACACCTACCTTGTTTAGTCTGGATTTTCTGACTTTTCAGTTTGATCCGAATCAAAATGACAGGTGTGAACGCTCCCCTGGACCACAGTAGTCTCGGTCCGGACCAAACAGATGGAATTTGGTCCTATGAAAAGAGAGTCTCGGTCCGGATCAAACTGAACAAAGGTTTGGTTCGTTTCTAGTGTGAACGCATTTTCTGTATGGCTCGGACTTCCAGAGCATTCACAGGAGGATCCGGTGGTTCCCGCAGGATTGCTTGCAGTCTTCTCCTCCTCTCCGGCCGGAGACGATGACATGTTCGCACAACGATGGCGAATATGAACTAGCCTGGAGTATAGCTGGTGCTGCTGGCACTGGCAGTAATAACAATAACATAATAACAGTATAGTGGCAACGATACTTGTCTGTTCATTCATTCTTGTCAAAGTTACCCGCCGAACTGACAACACGCTGACGTCAGACGCACGTCCGCTTACAAACCAATCAGTGTCAAGCAGCCCACATAGATGACGACAGGACGCAAGTGTGTCATGTAGAGCTCTTTAGTGCGCTCACATAATTGCAATGTGAAACCAAACCAAAACTTTGCAGTGTGAAAATGTATCAAAACATGAACCTTGGTTTGGACTTTCAGGTGTGAAAGCGCCCTTAACCTCCACCCAGTCAGTCCGGTGCACCTCTCCCGTGGCTTGCTTCAAAGAAGCTCCATGTGCCTTTCTTGAAGCCCTTCTTGAACAGCTCTGTGCTACACATACAGAAGTTGCCCTTCGGACGGTATTGGGTGCACGATCCATCGCTAAAAAACTGATCTTACTGATGGGTGTTGGGTTTTCACATGATCAAGCCCGGGTGACGAGTGTGTCCATGTAGCGATGGACTCTTCTGTTTTGATGCTGAGATGCTAGTAAAGCACCCGTGTTTGTCCACTCCCCCCACGTGAAGGACTCCTGTAGGCAGAGTTGTCTAATGCCACCTTCTAGCGCTGCACAGTATATCCAAAATGTATATATCGTGATATGCATATCACAACGGCTTGCAATAACTGGAGTCATGAGCAAAAGACGAAGAGGAAATCTCTCGCTGCTCTCGGCTGAATAACTTATGTAGCTTTAATAAGAATCAGTATTTCATTCATACAGTGAAAACTAAGCAGTGTTTTATTTTTACATTTGATTATTCACGTTCTGTTGTTAAACCTTATGTAGGATAACCTGAACCCTGTGCTTTACACTGATGTTAAAATAACACTTCTTATGCGACAGTAAAACACCGCCGTTCACTTTCAGAAGCTGTAGGGATACTTTCTCGGCAAAAAAACAAACATTTTAAAGAGGCTATATGCGTTTTTCTGAAATTTAAACGCGTGACTGACACCTGTGGCCAAAAAACAGATCTGCTCTTCCTTTCTGCTCACTCTCGCAGCGCGCGCTCGTACGTGCACACTTCACTAACAGCATTTACAAGTGAACTGAAAACAACACAGTGCTATTTCAATGAACAGTTTTATCACGTGTTACCTTTTCAGAAGAAATAAAGCCATTTCTGGGTCACTTCGTATTCCCAACACAGATCTGAGCTCCCTCCAAGGCTCAAATGCGAAGCCGATGTTCACTCTAGTCCTTGCTCGGCGCCGGTCGCTCTCAATCTTCGATCTTTTTCGGCCACTTGTCAGGGGTTTAACTTTTTTAGTCTTCTGTGGACTTACTGTTGGTGTCCGAGTTGTCCTGGGTCTCTTCTGTGTATTTGCAAAATCCTTTGCACTGCTTGCGAGTGTAGGCTACTTGCTGACTAGCGGTGGTGGCAGAGTGATCTGAAACGTTTAACATGAACGCGCTTGATGTCACATCCGCAGACAGCGCGGGAAATTTCCGACCCGACAGAAAATAGGAAAAATAGGATGCAGGCTTATAGGTGCACCCAATGTGAGCGGACAAGGTGTCAGTATGCTCATCAGGAGATGTTTAAGTCATAAATGGTAAAATAAAAAGGCTATTGTTACGTTTATTTTGGGGAAAAAGTTCCATATAGCCCCTATAAGGATAATTTAAGTTTATTTTGACACACTTTAAGCATTATCGTATTGCATTTTCCTTCAGTATGGCTCAGGCCCTCCTCTCCCTGTGTGCGCAGGGCCGCGTGGATCACCCGGTGGTGGTGACGGAGCCGGCCTGTAACCCGCTGCACTGCAGACAGATGATGTCCGAGCTGCTGTTCGAGGGCTACGGCGTGCCGCGGGTGGCGTACGGCGTGGACAGCCTCTTCAGCCTCTACTGGAACAGTGACGCAGCGCCCTCCACAGGCCTGGTGCTGTCCTCCGGGCATCACTGCTCTCACGTGCTGCCCGTCATCAACGGCAGGTACCGCAGCACACTCGCGCCACCATACGGTTGTCGAGTTTATATTGGTTCACGCTCATGTTTAGAAAACAATAATATCCTCATGATCGAGTGAGGAAACGCGCTGCGCTGACAGACGTTGCAGTCACACAGATAACTGTGTGCTAAGCGAAGTTTATAACAGCACTTTGGGGTTTCTGTTGTTAAACCGCTCTCCCTCGACAAAACTGAAATTAGCATATGTCTCAAAATCATTTTGCTATCGAATAGTTAGAAGTTATCAAATATAAGTTATCATCTCGGATCTGCGAGTTAGTGCTCGGGATTTATCATGGATTCTTTGCATTTACGGCCAGCAAAGCAACATAGTAAAATTCGTATATATTTTACATAAAAAAAAGTTACAGAATAATTACAGATCGAATATTCGAAAATTAAAATATTCGCAGGCTGGACTCTGTGAACTGCAAGCGTGTGAATCTGGGGGGAGGTCAGGCCGCCTCGTATCTCCAGAGACTCCTGCAGCTGAAATACCCCGCGAACCAGCCCTCGCTCACCCTGAGCCGCATGGAGGAGCTCCTGCACCGGCACAGCTACATCGCCCCGGACTACCAGCAGGGTGAGCACACACACACACACACACACACACACACACACACACACACACACACACACACACACACACGTTACAGCACAGCTACATCGCCCCGGACTACCAGCAGGGTGAGCACACACACACACACACACACACACACACACACACACACACACACGTTACAGCACAGCTACATCGCCCCGGACTACCAGCAGGGTGAGCACACACACACACACACACACACGTTACAGCACAGCTACATCGCCCCGGACTACCAGCACACTCTAAAAAATGATGTGTTGGATTTACTTAAAATATATATGCACCATTTTTGTAACATACTTTTTAAGTAATCCCAACTTGGAATAATTTTACTTAAAATTAACAAGAAAACCTTTGTTATACATACTTAAATATTTGAGTTCACGCAACATTCTTTACTTAAAAATATATGCTACTTTTAAGTAAAGAATGTTGCGTGAACTCAAATATTTAAGTATGTATAACAAAGGTTTTCTTGTTAATTTTAAGTAAAATTATTCCAAGTTGGGATTACTTAAAAAGTATGTTACAAAAATTGACGCATACCACTATTCACTATCGCTAATCACTATTTGGGGTTTGAGTCAACCTCGAGTTTGCTTTTATAAACTGTGTGGCAGAGCTGGATAACTGGCGCAGTCCTGTGTTCTACGAGCGGGAGGTCCACCGCGTGCAGCTGCCGTTCTCCGGGAGGACAGCGGGTGTGTGTGTGAGCGCGGAGGAGAGGAACGAGAGGAGAGCTCAACAGCTCCGGCGACTGCAAGAGATCAACAGCCGTCGCAGAGAAGAGAAGCTGCAGGAGGACCAGAAGCGGCTGGAGACACTGCTGTCGGTGCAGGTACACACACACACACACACACACTGACTGTGCTGTGCCGCAGAAGCTGCAGGAGGACCAGAAGCGGCTGGAGACACTGCTGTCGGTGCAGGTACACACACACACACACACACCGACTGTGCTGTGCCTGCTGGAGGACGGCTCACTGGAGCTGTTTCACACACACACACACACAACAGGGTTTCCGTTGTCCGGTAATTACCGGACATTGGCCGGGAAAAAAATGAAATGTCCGACAAAATTAAATCTCTCCGGTCAAATTGTCTGATTAAAATTGCGTAATAATCCTGCCCCCCTAACACAATATGAATTTGAGAATAATCCTAAAATGTATAAAGCAGATGGAGATCACGTGACCCTCCGGTAGCAATGGCTGTGTAGTTCGACTGCTCCCTGACTCGGTATCCTTATTAGGTGTTCAAGCACGAAGTGCTGAAAACCTATTGTAATTGTAAGGATTTTTATTATTAGGTGTTCAAGCACGAAGTGCTGAAAACCTATTGTATTTGTACTGATTTTTATTATTATTATTATTATTATTATTATTATTATTCTTCTGCCGTAAAACGCATCGTGCAGAACAAACCGTAAGTGCTGGAGCTCTGAAACTTTGTCAGATGGTAGTACAAAAATCGAGGAGAGCCTCAGAAAGTATGACCCCGATTGGCCTATAGGTGGCGCTACAGCAATCAATTGCGCGAAACTGCTCATAACTCCTAAACCGTATGTCGTAGACTCAAGTGTCTTATATCATTGGAAAGCTGGAGGCCTGAAGAACAAAACGTATATCTCCGATTTCATTTCCGGTATGCAAATTTTTCCGCCATTTTGAATTTTGTCAAAAACCTACTTTTGCGAACTAGTCCCTGGTTTTTCGCCCGATCAAAACCAGACAAATGCATACATGTTCTCTGGAGTCTGAATATCAATAATCATTGAAAAAAAGTTGAATTTTCGATTCACGGTCGCTAGGGGGAGTAAAATGATCGTTGTGGGAGGAGCCTATTTTACTAATATGGCTATAACTCGAGAAGTAAATGAGATATCTTCACCAATCTTGGAACACATGTGTATGAGTTCAATCTGAGGTCACAGTAAAAAAATCGCGTCGACCTAACACTAGGTGGCGCTATAACACACAAAAAACCTAAATCGGGCTATGACCACCTGACCGTTAGTCCGATTGACTTAAAAATTGGTATGCAGTGTCTTGGTCCAAGGTGCCATGTATGTGTATGAGGAAATTGGCGTAACTCAAAAAACATGGCCGCCATCGGCCAATGAATTTGAGCACCTATTACATGAGGTTAACGGAGGCCAATCGGAACGAAACTCGATGGGCATGTTTGACTCATGGCCCAAGAGGTCTGTAAGAGTTTTGAAAGAAATTGGCCACTAGTTGGTGCTAACAAGTTTTACGGCTCTGTAATCAGGTGGTGTTGCACACATCCCCAAAATATGCATATCATTTGATAGATCTCCTCAGGCTGAACAACTTTGCCTCTAGAACCATTGCTGTCAATCAAATCGTTCATTAAATATTCACGAATATGTTAAAAACCTACTTTTGCGAACTAGTCCCTGGATTTTCGCCCGATCGGAACCAGACCAGTCTAGGACAATTCTCTGGACTCTCTAGATCAATAATCATTGAAAAAAAGTTGAACTTTTGCATTTTTCGTATGGTTATAACAGGGTCATTTAGAAAAGGGGCGTGTCAAATACACACAAAAGCCTATAAATCATAAATAAAAACTCAGAACTAAACAAAAATTGGTGAGCATATGTGTCATAACATGGTGAAGAAGCATGCAAAGTTTCATGGAGATCGGACCATACTTGGCGCTATAACTGTCAAAAAGCTTTAAAACCATACATTTCCTATGGCAAATTGCCTGTATTGGCTGTAAATGCTGATCTCTTGAATGAATGCTCAGATCTTCTTTAAAAAAGGTCAAGAACATGTGTAATATCACTCTGTACGGCATTGAAAAATTTCAGACAAATCAGACAAAATTTGCCTCTATAATTAATTGTCACAGGAAGCCTCAAAACGAAAGTAAAACATTGGGCCACGCCCCCCCAAGCACGAATTCACTCATAACTCGAAAACGGAAAGTCTCTGCCCGCTCAATTTTTGATGGTAAGGTCCTCTCGGGGATCTTGATCCAAATCTTTCGTCGCGGGGCTCGGGAGCGCCCCCCCGCGGATCGCTAATCTGTGAGAACCCCAACTTGAAACGGCTGTAACTCTTGATCCACACCACCTAGATCCTTGTGGAAGAGCTTGTTGGAAAGGGCTCGTCCTCATCTAGCTTCGATTCGAGTTTGGTGCGATTTGGCCTGGGCATTCCCGAGATATAAGCCCACAAAGATATGCATTTAAACGGACATTACTCCCGACAGCAATCACTCAGCAACACGGGGATGGTCTTGTTCAAGAGGGCTCCTCTAACCCTATCTAAGTTCTGAGTTTCAGATTTTTTCACTTTCTCGTTCCCGAGATATAAGTAAAAAAATAAAACGAATTTCCTGTCATTCATTTCAACCGTTTATGTAGGCTGTAAAACCGCTGTTGTCCACTAGAGGGAGCAACAGCATTAGATATTTTTAATCTTTTTTAACCAGTTTTCAGCAATGGCTAACAAACAAATGCTTATAATATAATATTAAATAATGATTTATTAGAAAGTTTAATATTTTTACATCACAAATAAATATCTGAAATGCTTAAGGACCACAAAAAGAGATTTTCACAATATCATAACCCACAATTGTGTGTGTGTGTGTTTGTGTGTGTGTGTAAGCATGCATAATGGTATTCACATTGAAAGACTGGTTTGCTTTAGTGCACAATACTCAGGGTTTCTGCAGGGTTTAGTCAGTCAAATTTAAGACCTTTTAAGACCTTTTTATGACCAATATTATTTAAATTTATGACCTACTCGAATTACGAAAAATAACTTCCTTTCAAAAGTCTTTTTTTATTGACTTTCATTAAAAGTAATAAGTTTAATTATTTAAAGGTTCCATTTTCTTAAGAGTAACAAACTGAAGGCTCCCTTTTCCTAAGTATCAATAACACAGGAACAACACAACACTTATCACGATAATATCAGTCAATATCGATAATTATGACGATAAATGTCAATTCTTTATTTCTTTGAACTTTGAAGGCAGATTTTTGTTCCTAACTGAAAGTTGTAGAAACCAGAGTGTTAATTGTGGTTTTAAACTACTCTTTATTGTCAAAACATATCATGACAAACACTTGCCAAACAGGTGAACATTTCACAAATCTGAGGTAGAACATTCAAACATTTGTATTTTTTCCTTAACAAAAATAATATCTTTATTTCAAAATTAATTTCTTAGTTTCTGCATGTGCTAATGGGGGATATTGTTTCAAGTCTTGAAACAGGTTTGTGTTGCCTGACTTTGATGGCACGTATCTTTATGAAATGTATGAAAAACAGTAGGCTATAGCCTAAATACATAAATACTGTAATTATATTCCATTAGTCCTTTAATACATTGTCTACATTAATAATATAATACAATTCAATATGTATCCCACATTTCATGGTGCAGTTAATATTACTAGGCTAACGTTACAGTAAAACCATGGTAAAGGATGTAAATGTGTAGATGGAAAAGCTTTCTGACTGTATAGTTGCGCACAGTGTTTCTCCTGTTCGTCAGCGCTGTTTCATCTGCCTTTAAACTGGTTTAAATCACTGAGACATTTGTGTTCTTCGCTGAATTCAAGTGCTTCTCACTGGATCTCGTGATCGAGACTGATCAAAGTTAACCATAGACAGTAAAAGAACGCGTCTGCTCTAGTGAGCTTGATCACGCTACGCTGCCGTTTGGACTTTGAGCCGAGCGGATAAACGCTCCGTGAGGCGCGCGCGGTTCAAATGAGTTTCGTTCCGCTTTTGGCGCATAAACATGATCTAACATTTATCGAACTCTTAATATCGTTTTATAGAGAAAACATTATATCGCGATAATGAATGAATGAGCATATAAATTTAAGATGTGGCTAAATGTAATTTATGACCTTGTATGGAAAAGCCGGACGTTTTTATGGCCTAAAATTCTTATTATTAAATTTAAGACGTTTTATGACTTTTTATGACCCCGCGGAAACCCTGATACTGATTAAACCAAGTAGTTCAAAATAAAAGTGGTACTATAGCAATAAGTGGTCTTCTACTACCCTCTGCTGGACATTATACTTATTAATAGTCTTTTCACATGTGCTTTTGCATTCATATATTCAGACACTAAAAAATAACCTTATGTGACAATTACTATAATAACAAAATCATATTTTGTCTTTCAATTCACTTTACTGTTCTGAAGCTTCACATAATTGCTAACAACGTGGTAAATCATAGTAAATCATGCTACAATCCTGCTGAATCATTCTAGAATGTGGTATATCATGATAAATTATTGTGTAACATTCGGTCACAACAAGGTAACATCAAGGTAAACTAAGACAAACCATGGTAAACTGACTATTGTAGTACATTGAGAAATATGAATCCTGAAGGACAATTGCAGTAAACATTTCTTTTTTCCATCACATAGTTCAAATATCTGTATCTACAACAGAATGTGTGTGTGTAGTCCTAGGTTTCTGAATAAATGCTGAATAATCTGATTAATAGCTTGCAAAGACATTAAATGCTTATAGACCATTAAAATATATTTATATAATGACTTTGTGTGTATGTGTGTGTGTGTGTGTGATCAAATGTCTACATATGAGTGTAAAAGCACCTGTGAAAACACTTTATTAATAAGTAGAAGGCCAGCAGAGGGCAGTAGAAGACCACTTATTGTCTCACTCTCATTTTGACACACTTGATTTTCAACAGTAAATCAAAGCACTAAAGAAAACCAGTTTTTCCATGTTAACTATTATAACACAATCATTTTTTGTCAGAGTTTATCACTTCATTTTTATTGGCCCTTCACATCAATGCAGCA